GTTCCTACGGCCGCATTACGGCAAGCTGAAGGAGATCTATGAGAACATGGCTCCGGGAGAGAACAAGGTAAAGGCTCTTGGCCTCACCATCCCACGTGGCTGGGGGGATGGTGCTGGGGTGAGTGGTCGCAGAGCCCTCTGGACCCCGTGGTCTAACGTCAGCCTCTGTGACTTGCTCTGGTGGATTATAACTTGCCAGGGCCGCGCCTTTGCCGCCTGTGATGGCTTGTGGGCGCAGGGAGGGTGTTGTGTCCCTGGCTGCCCCCGCTTCCCTGTGCCCGGCATGTGTCTGGACCTCCGCGCTCTTTCCCCAGCGTTTTGCGGCAGACATCATTTCTGTGCTGGCCATGACCATGAGCGGGGAGCGCGAGTGTCTGAAGTACCGGCTGGTGGGCTCCCAGCAGGAGCTGGCATCTTGGGGGCATGAATATGTCAGGTAAGCCTGGGTGGGAGCAGGGCTTGGGGAAGGACAAGGGCTCAGGGGGATTTCCCTGAGCGCTTCGACTCTTGCCCGCCTGGGAGGTGTCTTTTGCTGAGTTTGTGCTCAGCTGCCCCTGTCACATCTGCACACGTGTCACCTCGTCCTCTCTCCACAGTGATTTGCTAGCTGCAGAGATCTGGCTGCTGTGGCCTCTGTAATCTCTGCTCTTAACCCTATTCCTTCTCTGGGCTTGTCCCCCAAAAGCTCTCGCAGGAATGTGGAGCCCCTGTAAACAATACACAGCCCCAGCTAACTGGTTGCAGCTGCTCCCTGTCCTTGGGGCTGGGTGAAGCTGGTTTCTGTGGCAGTAATGTCCCTTTGTCCCCGCAGGCACCTGGCAGGGGAGGTGGCCAAGGAGTGGCAGGAGATCGATGAGGCTGACAAGGCTCAGAGGGACACGCTCCTCACCCTGGTCAAGGAGATCGTCCCCTACAACATGGCCCACAACGCAGAGCACGAGGCCTGTGACCTGCTCATGGAGATCGAGCAGATGGACATGCTGGAGAAGTACATCGATGACAACGCCTACTCCAAAGTGTGCCTCTACTTGACCAGGTGAGGGACCTCAGCAGTCTCAGGCACTGGAGGGGGCCTGGTCCCTGGTGGGCTGAGGTTGCCCGACGTGGTTGTCACCCTCATGCCTGTCTCCTCCTCAAAGCTGCGTAAGCTACGTCCCAGAGCCCGAGAACTCGGCTCTTCTGCGCTGTGCCCTGGGCATCTTCCGCAAGTTCAGCCGCTACCCTGAAGCCCTGCGCCTGGCTCTGATGCTCAATGACGTGGAGCTGGTGGAGGACATCTTCACTTCCTGCAAAGATGTGTAAGCGGAGACTCGTTCCCCACCCTCTGGGGCCTTCGCCCGTCGTGGTGGGGTATGGCTCCCCATCTGGGCAGAGTTGGGTTGGATCCTGCCACCACCGGAGGTGTCGGGGGGTTTGGACTGAGACACCTGTCCCTGAAATCAAGGTGGGCAAGAGCGGACCATCTCTGGGCTGCTCTCGTGTGCTTCTAGAGCAGGGCAGGCTGACTCACTCTTTGGTGAGCGTGTGTTTGTTCTGGGGCTGGCTGGGGTCTGGGCACTTGTGAAACCTCTTCCCTCTGCGCAGGGTTGTCCAGAAGCAGATGGCCTTTATGCTGGGCCGCCACGGGGTCTTCCTGGAGCTGAACGAGGATGTGGAAGAGTACGAGGACCTGACCGAGATCATGTCCAACGTCCAGCTCAACAGCAACTTTCTGGCCTTGGCCAGAGAGGTGAGTGTCCCGGCTGGGAAAGGAGCCCTGGGCTGCCTCCAGCTGCGGCTGCCCTGGCTGCCGGGCTCTGTGGCAAGGCCTGGGAAGAGATCCTTCATCCCTGTGAGCTTGGCCAGGGACCTCCTGGAGAGGTTGCCCTTGTAGGGCAGCTGCCCTGGGGCATGCAGGTAACCCCCTTCTTCCTTGTCTCTGCAGCTGGACATCATGGAGCCCAAAGTGCCGGACGATATTTACAAAACCCACCTGGAAAATAACCGTAAGGGCTCTTGTTGTGGCCTCTGTCGTTTCTCCTTTGGGGAGCTCCTGGGGCTGCAAGGCACCTCTGGGCTGGCGCAGTCGGCTGTGTATCCCGAGGTAGGCAGACGGCCTGCCTGCGGTCTCTGACGTGGCGTGGAGCAGACCCAGCTGCCTGCCATGGATTTGGGCTCCTCCTTCCTGCTGGTGGTGGGACAGGTCCTCGTCCCCCCGTGGCGTGGGACAGCTGTGCGGTGGAGGGCTGGCAGGGCTTCTCTTGCTGCCCGGCTCACCCTAACGTCATTCCCCAGGGTTCGGGGGTAGTGGTTCCCAAGTGGACTCAGCCCGGATGAATTTGGCCTCCTCCTTCGTGAACGGCTTTGTGAATGCTGCGTTCGGACAGGACAAGCTGCTGACGGACGATGGCAATAAATGGTTGTACAAGAACAAGGACCACGGTGAGGGAGCCAGCTGGGCAGGGGCTGGAGGTGCCCCTAGGCTTGGGGTCACTGCCCTGTCCCTTTTGGGGGCCTGCAGGGCACAGCTGTCACTGGGCTGCCCCATGTCCCTGGCCACCACCTGCCCCAGGCCGGGCACATCAATTCAGGGCTGATGTGGGCTCTTTTCCCCCGGAACCGCAGGGATGCTGAGTGCTGCAGCCTCACTGGGCACGATACTGCTGTGGGACGTGGACGGGGGGCTCACGCAGATTGACAAGTACCTGTACTCCTCGGAGGATTACATCAAGGTCCGTGGCACGGATCCCAGCGCGGGCTCTACGGCTGCGTGGGGCAGCCCTGCTGTGGGCTGGGTGTGCGGCCGGCTCGGGGAATGGTTAACCTTGCCTTGATCTGCTATGCAGCTCGGCTCCTGCCCGGAGAGGGGTCAGACGCCCTGTGTCCCAGGTTTTTGACCTGTGCTGGCTCACAGAAAGGCGGGGAGCTCCTGGGGACTGCCTGAGACACCTCTGGGGTCCCCTTGTCACAGAGCTATGAGCTTTGGACTGCTCAGCTGGATCCAGAGTGGCGTTACTCACTTGATACCAACTTGCCCATCCCGGGGAGTGGGTGTAATGTGTGGGGTGACATTAGTCACTGGCTGGCAAGGAGCTTTGTGTGTTGGTGGCTGGTGTGTGATGGTGCTTCTACCTTGCAGTCGGGAGCCCTCCTGGCCTGTGGCATCGTCAACTCAGGGGTGAGGAACGAGTGTGACCCTGCCCTGGCCCTCCTGTCCGACTACGTCCTCCACAACAGCAACACCATGAGGATTGGAGCCATTTTTGGGTAAGGGCCTAGCCCCAGCCTCCCCACGCTGCGCAGGGTGGTGCAGCTCCCCCCTCACGCTCCCCTGGACTCTCCCCAGGCTGGGGTTGGCGTATGCGGGCTCCAACCGCGAGGACGTCCTGACTTTGCTGCTACCTGTGATGGGAGACTCCAAGTCCAGCATGGAGGTAGGGAGCGAGGCAGGGTTCGCCTGGGGTTCCTGCTTCCCCGCCCGGTCCCCAGCAGCTCCTGGGAATACGGGGGCTGTCCTGCAGCCGGATTGGGCTCCAAGAGCAAGGCTACCTGTCCCTGCTTGGTGCTGTGCTGTGCCAGAAGAGCACAACCCTATTTTCCCCATCTGAGCTGCTCCCACGGTGGGATTGCAGCAGATGCGGGAGAGTAAGAAGCCATCAGGTCTCCCAATAGCCCAAATTTTCACACAAAGCGGGGACCAAGGGTACCCCGTGCTCTTTCAGGCTGGGCAGCCGTCAGACTGTGCAGACCTGGCCCCGAGCTGTGGGCCAGCTCACTCTGCGCTGTCCCTATGTACAACATGTCTCCTTCCCTCCTTCACCAGGTGGCTGGCGTGACCGCCCTGGCCTGCGGGATGATATCAGTGGGCTCCTGCAACGGGGATGTCACCTCGACCATCCTCCAGACCATCATGGAGAAATCGGAGATGGAGCTGAAGGACACATATGCCCGGTGGCTGCCGCTCGGCTTGGGCTTGAACCACTTGGGTAAGCCTGGGCAGTGCCAGTGGCTCCTGGGTTGGGGGACGGGGTGGGAACGTCCCTCCGCCGCTGTCCTCTAACCACTGCGCCTTCCTCGGCAGGGAAGGGAGAGGCGATCGAGGCCATCTTGGCAGCGCTGGAGGTGGTGTCGGAGCCGTTCCGCAGCTTCGCCAACACACTGGTGGACATCTGCGCCTAGGCAGGTGAGTTGGGCTGATCAAGGTGGGAGGGGCAGGAGCGGGTCCCGGGCCCTCTGCCTGCTGATCCTGGCCCTCTGCTCTCCCCCCAGGCTCGGGGAATGTCCTGAAGGTGCAACAGCTCCTGCACATCTGCAGTGAGCACTTCGACTCCAAGGAGAAAGAGGATGACAAGGACAAAAAGGACAAGAAAGAGAAGGAGAAGAAAGAGAGCTCAGCTGACATGGGGGCTCACCAGGTGGGGAAATGTGGGCTGGGACCTGTGTCCCTGGGGCAGGAGCCGGCTTTGGGAGGGTCCCTAAGGCCCTTGTGGGAACAGAGCTGGAGCAAAACAGCCCCCAGCAGCATCCCCTGCTCTCCCTGTCCCCGTGGGCTCGGGGTGGGCGCAGGGGCTGTGAGAACTTGGGTTTTGGGCTGGGTGCTCCCTGCCTGACGCTCGGTGCCTGTGTCCCTGCAGGGTGTAGCGGTGTTGGGGATCGCGCTCATTGCCATGGGCGAGGAGATTGGCGCTGAGATGGCCCTGCGCACGTTTGGCCACCTGGTGAGTGACACCAGGGGGACAGCACAGAGCCGGGAAGGAACCTGGGAATAGAGACTGGGTCTTGCCTCACATCTCTGTAGACCTCGCTGCCCTTGGTAAGCTGGGTCTAACACCCACCTCCCCTCCGTGCAGCTGCGGTACGGGGAGCCCACCCTCCGCCGTGCTGTGCCCCTGGCCCTGGCACTTATCTCCGTCTCCAACCCCCGGCTCAACATCCTCGACACCCTCAGCAAGTTCTCCC